AGGCCGGCTGACGGACAGGCTGGCAGGCGGACAGACAGGCAGGCGGGCGGGCAGACAGGCAGGCCGACAGACAGACAGGCAAGTAGACAGACAGACAGGCAGGAAGACAGACAGACAGACAGACAGGCAGGCTGGCGGACAGGCAGACAGGCAAGTAGACAGGCAGGCAGGCCGACAGACAGACAGACAGGCAAGTAGACAGACAGACAGGCAGGAAGGCAGGTAGACAGGCAGACAGACAGGCAGGCAGGCTGGCTGACAGGCAGGCAGACAGACAGGCAAGTAGACAGACAGACAGACAGGCAGACAGGCCGACAGACAGACAGGCAGGAAGGCAGGCAGGCAGGCAGACAGACAGACAGACAGACAGGCAAGTAGACAGACAGACAGGCAGGCAGGAAGGCAGGTAGACAGGCAGACAGACAGGCAGGCAGGCAGGCTGGCTGACAGGCAGGCAGGAAGGCAGGCAGGCAAGTAGACAGACAGACAAGCAGAAAGACAGGCAGGCAGGTAGACAGACAGACAGACAAGCAGACAGACAGGCAGGCAGGTAGACAGACAGACAGGCAAACAGACAGACAGGCAGACAGACAGAGAGGCAGGAAGGCAGGCAGGAAGGTAGACAGACAGACAGACAGACAGGCAGGCAGGCAGGCAGACAGACAGACAGGCAGGCAGGCAGGCAAACAGACAGACAAGCAGACAGACAGGCAGGCAGGTAGACAGACAGACAGGCAAACAGACAGACAGGCAGGAAGGCAGGCAGGAAGGTAGACAGACAGATAGACAGGCAGGCAGGCAGGCTGGCTGACAGGCTGGCAGGCAGACAGACAGGTAGACAGACGGGGCTGAGAATGTGGCTTCGTGTAGAGTGCTTGCCTAGTACTCATGAAGCCTAGCATTCATGAAACATTCATGAAGCCACATAGACAGAAAAAGTGGTGGTTCTGTGGCCCAAGTGGTACAGTGCTAGTCTTGAGCAAAAGAAGCTTAGTGACAGCTCCCAGTTCAAGCCCCATGACAGGCGAGAGAGAGAGAGAGAGAGAGAGAGAGAAAACACCAGGGAGCATGCCTGTCATTCTAGCTACTTGGGAGGCTGAGATCTGGAGGATCAACATCAAATGCAAGCATGGCTACAAAGTCCAGGAGACTCTTAGCTCTAATTAATCAACTAAACGATGGAAGCGGAGCTGTGGCTCATAGTGGTAGAATGCTAGCCTTGAGCAAAAATAAATAAATAAATAAAGGAGGGGGTAGAGAGGGGTTGGGAGGAAAAAAAAACTGGTACAAAACTAGAGGAGAGGGCTGGGAAGGTGGCTCAGTGGTAGAGCGCTTGCCTTGCATGCATGAGGCCCTGGATTCGATTCCTCAGCACCACCTAAGCAGAAAAAAGCCGGAAGTGGCGCTGTGGCTCAAGTGGTAGAGCACTAGCCTTGAGCTGAAAAGCTGAGGGACAGCGCCCAGGCCCAGAGTTCAGAACCCCCCACCCCCAAAAAAAACTAGAGAAGAGGTGACACTATTCAAAAAGTTTGTTCACAGCTAGAGCTCTACCACTTTGTGGTACCACAACACCATTTCCGGTTTTCTGGTGGTTTATTGGAGATAAAGTCTCACACACTTTCCTGCCCAGGCTGGCACTGTGGCTCAAATGGTAAGCGCTAGCCTTGAGCTGAAGAGCTGAAGCCCAGAGTTTAGGCCCCACAACCTACCAAAACAAAACAAAACAAAAAGAGTCTCAGAGGGAGGGGCTGGGAAGGTGGCTCAGTGGTAGAGTGCTTGTCTTGCATGCATGAGGCCCTGGGTTCCATTCCTCAGCACCACATAAACAGAAAAAGCTCCAAGTGGCACTGTGGCTCAAATGGTGTAGTGCTAGCCTTGAGCTGAAGAGCTGAGGGACTGCGCCCAGGCCCAGAGTTCAAAACCCACGACTGATGACTAAATAAATAAAAAGAGTCTCAGGGGGAGTTGTCTGCCCAGGCTGGCTTCAAACCATGATCCTCTGATCTCAGCCTCCTAAGTAGCTAGGATAACAGGCATGAGCCACTGGCATCCAGCTCATTGTCTGGTTTTATTGCACATCTACTTTGTGACTTCCAATCAGGTCCCTGTGACCTACCGTCCCCCCTCCATTTGGGCAATGACAGTCACAAGGAACCACCCTCTTACAGAGGGGTGGGGAGAGAGTAAAGACCATCTTTCCCTTCCCACTAGCTAGGCCTGACCTGTTCTGGGTCCTGCGCTTCAGGTCTGGAGTCCTCTGTCTCTTCAGGCCTGGAGGAGTTGGGCTGCATGGTGGTGAGTCCCCATCGCTGGATGGTGTTATTTGAATGACAGGCACCTCCAGGAACCTCCAAAGCTCAGATGCCAGGCTCTGGGCACCACCACCGCCCTCTGCCTGCTGTCCAGGTTGGGAAGCAGCTGTGTTCTGGGGACTGTCCTGGGTCCCTGGGGATGCCCAAGGCAGTAGGGGCAGGAGCTCATCCATAAGGTAGGTCTGGGTGGCTGTGTGGTTCCTGGAGGAGGAGACGAAGAAAAGAGATGAAGAAACAGGAGCCCATGGCTCACGCCTGTCATCCTAGCTACTCAGGAGGCTGAGATCTGAGGATCATGGTTCAAAGCCAGTGTGGAGAAGAAAAACCATGAGACTCTTATCTCCAATATTCCAGCAAAAATGGAGCTTAGGGCTCAAGTGGTAGAGTGCTAGCCCTGAGCACAAATAAGCTCAGGGACAGCACCCAGGTGCTGAGTTCAAGCCCTAGGACTGGGACCAAAAAAAAGAAAAGAAAAGAAAAGAAGAGCCAGTCACTGGTGGCTCACGCCTGTCATCCTAGTTACTCAGGAGGCTGAGATCTGAGCATCACAGTTCAAAGCCCGCCTGGGCAAGAAAGTCTGTGAGACTCTTGTCTCCAATAAACCACTAGAAAACCAGAAGTGGCGCTGTGGCTCAAGTGGTAGAGTGCTCACCTTGAGCTGAAGCACTGAAGGACAGCACCCAGGCCCAGAGTTCAAGCCCTACAACCAACAAAACAAAGAAAAAGAAAGAAGAGAGATGAAGAGGAGAGGTTGTGTTTCAGCACAGTTTGGGGGTGACAGAGCTTTCTACCTCTCCCAACATCTCCCCTTGGTGACTATGAACCTCAGCGTATTTGCATAACACTTGTGAATGGTTGGACAGTACCTAGCCCAGTGTCCACACACAAAATGCTTGTCAAACATCTATTAGTGCCTCTAGACTGGCAGTTTATTCTGACTCTCAAAGGCCACGATCCCCTTGGATATCCTCCACCAACCAACAGCCAGGAGTCAACTAGGCCTCAGGCCTGGGTTAGGTGGGCCTGAGCAGGCCCGGGAGGCCTCAGGCCTAGGTTGGACAGGTCTGAGCAGGCCACAGAGGCCTGGGGCCTAGGCCTAGGTAACTGCCAGCTGAGCACAGAGCAAAGCGGAAGCCAGGATTTCTCCTTCCTGCTGACTGAGCCATTTCCCCTCTTGAGACAAAGGCCTGGCGTCCGGAGGCCTCCAGCAGGGGAGGAAGTGTGGCCACTTCCGGCATCAATATCTGTGAGGTTGGAAGCCACCTGGGCTCTGGAGGCCACACCAGAGCCCTCCTATCCTCGCACCAGGACACAGCCATGGCTTCTGGAGATACAGCTGCCCAGAGAGAAAGAAGACAGGAACATGGGAGCCCCCCGCCCCTCCCCGGGATCCCCCCTGGCCTAGAAAAGACCCTGATGCTTACAGGCTAGACCTGGACCTCACCCATCCCCTCTGGGAGCTTGAAACCCCTACCTTTTGGATTCTTCTTCTTCTAGTCTTGAGGATTCTGATTTCTAGGCCTAAGCCTGCCCTTCCTCTCCCTTCTGAGTCCTGGCCAGGCCAACAGACATGACCTTCAGGCTGGACAGCCTGTGTGGCTGGAGTCGTGTTACCTCTGGCCAGCTGTTCCTGAGAGAAAGGAAGGGGTGGGGGTGGGGTACTCTTACTAACAAGGAGCCCAAGAGCCCCCTCATCGTCCCTTCCCCTGGACTCTAGGTCTCCCGTGGTCTGTCCCTCAGGCTAGCCTCTAGTCAAGCACAGTGTAGCTCCAGCCTCAGAAATGCTCCTCCAGGAGTGGGAATGTGGCTTAGTGGTAGAGGGCTTGCCTAGCATGCATGAAGCCCTGGGTTTGAGTCCTCAGTACCACATACACAGAAAAGGCCGGGAGCGGTGCTATGGCTCAAATGGCAGAGCGCTAGACTTGAGCAAAAGATGCTCAGGGACAGTGCCCAGGCCCTGAGTTCAAGCCCCAGGACTGGCAAAAGAAAAAGAAAAGAAAAGGAAAGAAAATGTTCCTCCAACCAGGCACTAGTACCTCACACCTGTAATCCCAGCTACTCAGGAGGCTGAGATGTACAGTATCATGGCGTGAAGCCAGCCCTGGCAGGAAAGTCTGTGAGACTCTTATCTCCAATGATTCACCAAAAATCTGGAAGTGGAGCTGTGGCTCAAGTGGTAGAATGCCAGCCTTACAGCAAAAATCTCAAGGACAGCGCCCAGGCTCCAAGTTCAAGCCCAGAACTGGGGCTTGAAACATGCCCCCAAGTTGAGCAATGACTCCAATCGCCAAATCCCAACCCATTGTCTAGTCATCTTTTGTACTCTGAGATAAGAAGCCTTGAGCCAGGGAAAGCAGTCTACCTTCTGGACCTCTGTGATACATTATTATTTGTGTGTGTGTGTGTGTGTGTGTGCGCGCCCAAACTAGGCTTGAGCTCAGAGCCCAGGCACTGTTCCTAAGCTTGTTCACTCAGTGCTGGCGCTCTACCACTTGAGCCACAGCTTCATTTCCAGCTTTTGGCTGGTTCATTGGAGGTAAGAGTCTCATGGCCTTTCCTGCCCAGTTGGCTTTGAACCATGATCCTCTAGATCTCAGCCTCCCAAGTAGCTAGGATTCCAAGTGTGAGCCACCAGTACTCAGCATGATAAAATTTTCTTATCTTCCTCTCTCTCTCTCTCTCTCTCATGTCAAGTTGACATGTCAAGTTGCAAAGGGTTGGAAAAAATTCAACAATGAGAATTTCATCAGCAGACCACAACCAATATTTCATTACATATCCACAAATATCCCATTATTGCTCCCAAATCAGAAACCTGAAACATTTGTTTTCTCTAGCATTTTCCATAAAGGAATGCTCAGGCTGCATTGAAGTTTCCACAGTGTCCTCAGGGGGGCGCTGGCGCGGTGATGTGGTGATGTGGTTTGCAAAAGCTCTGTCCAACTCACTGGATCCTTGTCTGTCAGGTCATCTCAAGCCATGGGGCCCTCCCTGCCAGAGGCTCGGCCTGTGGCCCAGTGACTGAAGACACAGCAGAGCATCCCACCCAGAAGGTTTTGAGGAGAAACATTACGAATTGTAGCCCGGCATCTGTCAGCCTAGATAGTCTGGAGGCTGAGACCTGAGGATGGTGGTTCAAAGCCAGCCTGGGCAGAAAAGTCCTTCAGATTCTTATCTCCAACTAATCAGCAAGAAAGTCAGAAGTGGGGCTGTGGCTCAACTGGTAGAGTGGAGGGAAAGGAGGGGAAGGAGGGGGAAGAAGAAAAGGAGGAGGAGAGGAGGAAGACTGACCAAAGAGCCAGGTTCTTGGCAGGCATGAGCCATCTGTGCCCGGCTCAGATTCTTCTTTTAAGGTTGGATCTTGCTACGTTTTGTTTTGCCTGGGTTGTCCTGGGACTGTGATCCTATCTCCACCTCCTGCATAGCTGGGATTACAGGTATGATCTACTGTATCAGGCTTTGCTTTCTCCACTTCTGGCATAACTAGGGGACATCTGAAAGAAAAAAAAAAAAAAACAAAGTCAAAGCCGGGCACTGGTGACTCACTTCTGCAACCCTAGCTACTCAAGAGGCTGAGCTCTGAGGATCATGGTTTGAAGCCAATCTGGGCCGGAGACTCTCATCTCCAACAGACTATTCAGAAAAGGCGGAACGTGCAGCTGTGTGCAGTTAGCCTTGAGCAAAAGAAGCTCAGGGAAGATGCCCGGGGCCTGAGTTCAAGCTATAGAAAAGTGTACCTATGCCGGGCGCTGGCGGCTCACGCCTGTAATCCTAGCTACTCAGGAGGCTGAGATCTGAGGATCACGGTTCAAAGCCAGCCCGGGCAGGAGAGACCGTGAGACTCCTATCTCCAATAAACCACCAGAAAACCAGAAGTGGCGCTGTAGCTCAAGTGGTAGAGTGCTCGCCTTGAGCTGAAGAGCTGAGGGACAGCGCCCAGACCCAGAGTTCAAGCCCCACGACTGACAAAAAAAAAAAAGAAAAGAAAAGTGTAACTATGCTTTAGAGGAAGGGCTCTGAACACAGTAAGAGGCTGGAGTCCAAGAAGAAGCTAAGGACGCATGCCATGCTGTGGCCGTGACCTTAAACTCTGCCAGCTCACCACAGCAGGCTGGTCTTGCTGAACAAACCAGCAGAAATGTGGGATGCCCAGGCTGGCATCTGGAAACTTCCAGAAACTGGCTAGACCTAGAGGTGTGGGGCCAGGGAGACAGTTCTATAGGAGCTCACTCTTGTCTGGACAGGAAGCTGCCTGGGGGGGGGGCGGGGCTGCTTTGAAAGCTTCTTTCCTGCTTCAAGCTCTTGGCAGCAGAGGCCCAAAACAGGTAAAAAATAAAAATTAAAAAAAAAAAAAAACCCACCCTCAGACACCATCCTCAGACTCTGGAGCTTTATTGTAAACCTAGGAGGTGTTCTGTCAGAATCAAAGATCTCCTTTCTTCCCCCTGTTATTCACTGGCAGAAAGTTCCTCCTGTGGTCTGGCCTCAGTCCCTCCTACTGTTGGAAATTTACTCTCTTCCCCTCAACCTCCTTTTCCCTGGGAAAAGAATATCCATGGGAACAAAAATGGGGAGAAAAACCAACCAAAACAGAACAAGATTATTGATAAAGGGCAAAAACCTCTTGGTAAAGGAAAACCCCAGACAAAGGCTGACCAGTACTCAGCCTTTGCCCCTTCTCCATCCTTGCTAAAAAGCAAAACAACATCGCTCCTTCACTCAAGTTTACCAAGCTGGCAGCTTTGCAGAAGGCTAGTGAGAACCTTAGGCTTATCCCCAGCTGCACTGAGTTGCTGTATTAGTCAGGAGCTTATAATACAAATCATTTCTGTAATAGTGTCAATCACATTGATAATATTGGTCATGCTGACCAAGACAAGATTATGTTTCACCTATGCTCCTGTGACTTGAGGCTATGTGTTGCTAT